ACGCTGACGTCGAGCCTTCTAAGCTATTCAGTGCCCCATAACCAGTCACTCATTTCTATGGGCCAGCATTCCATTGGAATGCCTAGCGTACCGGGGACTGGTTCATTGCTAGGGCGATGCCATATTCATACCAAGTTCGTTACCGATCCCATAAAATGGGTATGGGTTCTGGCACCGATTCTTACTGGCATTCACTTTCACGACTAGTCTAAGAATTCGCTCGATATGTGAAGAACTGTTGCCTCCAACCGGTTCACTGAGCCAGGGTCCAATCACATCGGAAGGACTAGCTATTTCTAGTTGCCTTACGCGACAAATATTCGACTCGCGGTTTCTCCGCATAAGTCGATGTCGGAGGAAATTTCCACGCTAGTTGCACTAGGAGTGTGGGGGGAGAGGGGAGGGGGGGAGGCACAGGGACATCCAAAAGACCCTTTGTACAGGGAGTCCTTCAAATGCCCATAACGCCGGGAATTCATGATCCTTCCAGAGTTCCCGTAAATTAATCATTCCTGTGAAGTAAGTGTTTACGACTTCAGGGTCGTTACAGTACTTGAGTAATTTATTATCGTCAATTTGACACCGTTTATGGAACCCAGAGCGACCTTGTTCATCCCGCGACTCAGTGGGTGGCGCCATTCTTTTGAGGGTTTTTCTACAAGTGCCACTTCCTTCCGACAAATTCCTCATGCTTATCTTCGTCCGGTGCCCTTCGATGATTTCAAGGACTCAGATAGACCACGAGCACTTGTGGGCGCCACATCGTAGCCCTAGCGAGCTGGCAAGGTCAAACTTTCGATTTCAAGTTAAATCTCGAATTTTCGACCTCACATTCCCCACCACACCCTTTACTTACGCCGTGGAACTACTAGTGAGTAGCCCAAAGAAAGTTGGGAATATGGACCCAGTCTTGGTTTTGAGTGGTGTTATTCGCTCAAAGAGCCATAAAGGAAGTGAAGGGAACCGCTAGAAACCCGTCTAATCAGGCCCCCCACTAAATAGCCGGCTTTTGAGGTAGCACACGAAAAAAAACGTGAAAAACCTGATCGTGCGATGGTTTATCCTCTACGCTTCATTAGCCCTATTGTAGCCATTTAAGTGCAAGAATTCCTGCTATTTTGACGTAGCCAAAAGAAATTTGACAAGTCCCTGCTTTACTAATCCCTGCTTCGTGATCATCAGTTGAGGGGCGTAGCCAGTGAGATGGGCGGGGCTTTAGCTACAAGGTAGATCTCTGCCCCTTACTTTGACCGTCCAAGTCTTTACCGATGGAAGGGTCCAAAAAAATTGAAGGTACTGCCTTCAACCCAAGAGGGGGATGGTTCGGTTGCCCTGAAGAAAGTTCTTGCAATCGTAGCTTCCCGGGTGCTG